AAATAACACCCTCGTATCTAATAAGAAGATCAAGAGGGGGCTGGCTTACTTGATAGCCTGAGCAACTGCTGCAAGGTATCCCTTAAAATAGCGAACCCTCAATTTGTCATCCAGCACTTCATGGAGAGTCAAACTACTGTCATCTTCATCATCCATACCTGTCAAATAGCAGTTACTGAGAATTCAGAGAAAATAAAATGTACCATGAGACAGCTGACATTGCAGTAAAAACAGATTGGCATGTAAAACAAATATGCTAAATTGAAGTCATAAATCAGTTATTATAGCTATAGGAGAAGGGGAGTCAGGTACCATTTTCAGTCACATATATCGTGGGATTATTATATGTCTGAGCTATGTAATTCAAAACCTTCCGTATGCCCCAGGGCACAACATAGAGCCACTCTGAAGCTGCCTGCCATTCGTATATCTCTTAGTAGACTGGAAGACCTGGATCTTCCAAAGCCCTAGTCTATGCATAAATTCACATGCACAAGGACACCAGAGACATAATTCATACCTTCTCGCCAATCATCTCACCTCCTTCCCATTGAGCTGATAATAAACGGTAAAAGTTATTATTACAAGCAAAATATTGCCAGTAAACAGTAGGCAAAAAATTTTCATATGTATCATTACCAATTATTTCAATCTGTTGATCTTTATAGAAATTGACTTCTTCAGGACCATCTGTTGCATGAGCAATAAACCTTGCTGTATACTGATTCAGGCCAACAAAGTCCATTGTGTTCCTAAGCAACTCTTTGTCTTCCTCTGAGAACTTGGGAAGTCGGTTTCCAAGTTTTTCACGCATAACTTGAGGGTAGTCTCCATAATAGAGAGGATGTAAGTACCTGTGACAAAGATGATAATGGATACATGAAAATTGGAAGTCATAAGAGATTCCTAAATGAATAAGATGATTTAATTACATAAACAAATTATCATAAAGTTGCACAAACCATAAAAAAATTTAGCTTCCTCATCTCACTCATTTATTGTTTTTTTTGTAAAAAAAAATAGTCCAACACTTGGCTAGGGGATTCACAGATGGTATAGGTCTACACTTGGGAAAGTAGTGAAGAGACTGTAATTAAATAAAGTCACTATATTACAAGTCTATTTGCATACA